TGAATTCTGTTTATCTCTTGTTAAATTCATTTACTCTTTGTTCCATTATCTCCATTCTTTCTTACTTTATTCCTTTTGTCATTACAGAAAGCATATATTTTTCTCTGATGTGTCTAGTCTTTGGTTTGTAATGTGTCCTTTAGATGTGGAACACATTTACACCATCTGCGTCCTTCTTGAGGACTGACATGTGCATCATCCAGAGCCTGTATATTGGGTTGCATTTTACTGTCAAGGACTTGGATGTTATGAATGCTGTTTGTGGAAATTTTGGGTTCTCTCGTGTTCCTCCAGGGTTTATCTTTTAGTGGTCCATTTATTTGGTTAGACTCAAAGTGCTGCTATGCACATCTCAAATTTGATTCTTAGCCTCTATTGAAGGTTGATTTACCCTTGCTTTGTGAATGTGTGCTCTAATTTTAAAGATAAAAAATAAGACTTCAGTTTTACACTCCAGTACATAGAACTCTTGTACTTAGAACAAAAAATTCAAAACTTTTAAGTGCTGTCACGTTTTATATGAGGCAGCATATCTTTTTTTAAATATATATTTTTTTATGTGTACGTGTGTATTGCCTGCATGTAGGTAAGTGCACCCATGTCGTACAGCGCCTGCGGAGGACAGAAGAGGCTGTCAGATCCCCTGGAACTGGAGTTACGGAGAGTTGTTAGCTGCCATGTGGGTGCTGGGATTTGAACCAAGGTCTTCTGCAAGAACAGCCAGTGTTCTTAACTGCTGAGCCATCTCTCCAGCCCTGAGGCAACATATCTTAACTCTTCTTAATTCCCTTGTGATCATAATATTTCCCTGACTTTCCTCCTTTGTTTTTCATTATTGTGTATCACAGTAAATTTCTGAGAAAATACATTGGAAGATTTGTTACATGTGTATGTAGAATCTGGAAAATAATAATGGAAATGCGTGTAGGTTTTCAAATGTATATTAATTTAGAATTTATTATAGCCTTTGAATCTTATCTAAGGAATATTATTACTCCATGAATAAAATTGAATAAAGCTACTATTGAAGTAAGACATTCATAGCTTTGGTTATTTGATATAGTTATCTCTTATGAGAGTATTCTCACAAATCACTATTGAAAAAATATATATATAGCAGGTGACAGTCCTCTAAACTATCATTCATTTATTTACAACGGTGTAGCATTTATTTTATACTTGCTAGAATAAAAAACTTGTTTCAGTGTTAGACAAGACTCCATGGAGGTGGGGTGAATGTAGTCTCCAGGCTTGTCCTCCCAGCCTCATAGGTGGCCCTTTCTCAGGGTAGATGCTGGTGAGACCTCAACACATACGTCGATTGCTGCTTTGACTGTCTGTGCTTTGGGATGTCTGCTGATCTCCTTTTCTGTTCTTTGTATTTCCCTCTTCATTGTTTCTAAGTTTTTGAGAGTCTGTATTACTAGCTGAAATATTTCTCTGGTCCCATACTTATTTCTGCCTTTACACTACCTAGTTTTAGTTCAGGACAGCAGGGTTTTGGGTGATAGATCTAGAAAGTGGCAAGTGTGGAGATATAAGACATTGATCTTCATTGTCACCAGCCTTGTATTACATCTTCCCTTATGTCTCAGGGAGATGTTGCCTGAGCCTCATCAAACATTAAGGCATGCCTTTTGTATTTGCATTCTGTGGTGTTTGTTAATAATCTTAGTCTTCAGGGCGTTCATGGGGGGAAAAAGTTAGGTCATAGGAAAGTCTCCCTTCAAAGAGAAAATATTTTCAGTTTTTGCTACTGAATAAAAACCTACAGCAGCCTGTAGGACTTTATTATAGAGTGTTAAAGGGGAAGGAGTGAGGTGGGAGCTGTGGGGTAGTTTTAGATGGTTTTTAGAGAGTCCTCTGAGTCAGAATGGTAGTAGCAGTGAGACAAGTGGAGAAAGGAGTAGAAACAAGTGGAGAAAGGAGGACTGCCCAACAGACAATGGACTTGGCCAAGAATCTGCCTGGGAGAGAGGTGGACTGCTTTCATGAAATTCAGAAACCATTGTTTTAAAAAATGGGTCTCAAGTTTAATGTTTGCTCCTTATTAGAAAATACTAAATTAAAAAATAGCAAGCCAGGCATAATGTTGCGTTCCTGTAATCATGCCTCTTTGGAGGCTAAGGCAGGAGAATCAGTGAGGTAGTGAGCAGCTTGGGCTATATAGCAAGATCTTATCTCAAAAAATAAAACAATTTGTATGCATGCCTTTAAAAGTGGCACAGGAAATAAAACAATGTATTGTATTTTAGATAGTTGATTCCACTCAGAAAAACAGGCACTAGGAAATACTATCCACCAAAAGTTTTAAAAGAGAAGGAGCACTTGTATGAAAGAAAACATGCAGAGAATTTCAGGTATATCAAAACAAATGTTTTCCCTCCTTAATTCGATTGAAACTCATATTTTCTTGTTTTCCACATTTTTATCATTTTGTGTGACATCATTTGTCTTCAGATTTTTCTTTTCTTTGTTTTGCTTCCTTTCATCTTGTGGCAGAAGCTTTGGAAGTTCTTGCTGCTCTCATGCTGCTGTTTGTACAGCCATTCTTTCAGCAAACAGGAGTCCCTTTACAGCAGAACAGTTGCTTCCCTTTGTCGGTTGGTGCCAGCCGAGACCTATAGTCAGTCTGGCTGTGCTAATAAAATCCCGGAGTTCTGAGCTTAAAACCTAGGCAGATTCTTGTTGTTCTGTAGCCTCCTTGGTGTCCCTTTCCATGTCCAGTAGCAGTGGTATTGCTGTTGAGCTGGGTACTTGATTACCTAGTAAATTGCCGTCTTACTTAGTCTTTGCTTTCCCTTCATCTTGTGGAAGAAATTAAGAATTTCTTCATGAAAACAGTATGTGGTTTCTACAGCCTAAGATGTTATCTATAGCCAGCACCTGTCTTCTCTTATGTTATTTAAAAACAAATGTATTTAAAATAATAGAGAAGCCTCACTTAGTCACCATTTGCTATAAAAAGCATTCAGATAACTTTTGATCTCATTTTTATTGGACAGAATTCATCAAGATAAGTTCCCATTGTATAATAAAAATTATTTTTGTATACAACGTATATAATTATTCCCTGTTTTATATGTCATATGTTTGTAGATTCTGTTGGTTACTACTAGCTTTTGTCTTTGTCTTTGGTCGGTTCCCCTAGAAATCCTATAAGCTATTCTGTAGTGCTGATTACAAAGAAAATGCTTAGAAAATAATTGCTTTCAGGTGCTGGAGGGGTGACAGCAAAGCTTGGTTTTACATGACGTGTTCCACACGTGTAGAGTTTTTCCTAAACTAAGAATTTAATAAAATTTCTCTAAGAATGAATAAAATGTTTTACATTTTTGAATATAATCTTTGTTTTAAAAGGTAGTCTACTTAAAATTATGTCTGGAAAGCTGGGTGTGGTGGCACATGCCTGTAGTTCCAGCACTTGGGAGGCAGAGGCAGGCGGATCTCTGTGATTTCAAGGCCAGCCTGCTCTACATGGTTCCAGGACAGCTGGGGCTACAGGGAGACCTTGCTTCAAAAAGACAAAAAAAAAAAAGAAGTCTGGAAAATTATTTGTGTAATAATCTACCCTTATCTGTGTAGGATATATTCCATATCCCCCATATAATACTGAAAACTGAAAATGCTAACCCATTTCACTCTAATTATACCACACATACCAATAATAAACTTGAATTTATAAATTACAGAGAGTAAGAGATTAACAATAATGTATAAATAGAATAATTGTAACATACTGTAGTAAGATTATTTAAATTTATATGTTATAGAATGTTCTATTAAATTTTTTCAAACTGCAGGAGTAAGTGAAAACTCAGATAAAGAGAGATTACTGTACTAATACGTATCATCTTTTCTGTTAAGTTAGGGCCCCAATAACTGAATTAGTGACTAGGACATTCTACTATGGGTCCTGGGCCCCTTTCCCATATTTGTTTCTGTCTCCCATCCCTTCAGCTGGCCATTTTTCTTTACAAGCCTTGGAACTCTTCAGGGCATGTTACTGGAGAGGTGGTGCATTTTATTTATCACACCCTTCAGTCTCACTTCAATCACTGAGGACTTCCAGGAACTGCAATAGAACTTCTAAACTTAACAGTGTTGTCATTGTAGCATCTAGGTTTCTCTTTTGCACAAGTGAAACAAACCCAATATTTATATTTAGTATAGTGAGCAGCTCAGAAGACTGTGGGAAAGTATACCCTTCTAGGAATCAAGGAGAAAAACTATGACTTTTACAAAACAGAAAAGGAGACATAACTGGATTGAAATGGGAAAATACAAATGGCTCAATAGATTTCCAGCTTCTCCTGGGAACTGATAGAAAAAGTGAAAATAATAGAGCCAGGACTCAGAAGAGCACAGAGGGTTGTTTCATTGATAATGGCGACTGATCTGTTATTTCCTTTGAGTTTTCCTTTGTAACTTTCATAAGGGTGGATTTATAATTTACAGTCAGAATTTGGGTAACAGTTTTGAAGAGGTTGAAGTGCTACCCATTATGGTGCATTGTCATATCTCCTTAATTAGTGTTAATATAGCTAATTGGATTTTCTATCTTCAGTTAAGACTATTTAATCTGTAAATTAATAGAAACCAGTGTGTTAAACTGGATAGTTACTTGACCAGCTTTGTTTTTATGACTTAGAAGCTAAATTATTCATATTTTCATGTGGGCACTACAAAACTAGAGAAACCTTGAGGTGACAGGGAACAGACATGGAGACACTTAGATTATAACCCATTTGAAAGTCTACAAAGAAGTATTTTATTCCTGACATTCCATAATGTGTATTTGGTATTGTTGAGTGGAATAATGGTGAAAAGAACTTTGAAGAAACTTACTTGCTAATGTTAATGAGGCAAGGAGTGAGATTAAACCTGTTCTTCAAAGTGCTTGTACCACTTTCTGAACTGTGCTCTCTTCTATACTATACAAAAATGTCCACCGAAATACCTTTTTAGATTCTATATTGTTCATTGTCTTCTTTCCTTAGGTATGGATGAGCGAGGAGGAACGACATCCTGGGGAACAAGTGGTCAACCAAGCCCCTCCTATGATTCATCTAGAGTAAGTTTTCTTCTCATCATGATTAGAACTGTATAGATAATTTGGATGAATAAATAAGGTTTTACAAATGAGCCTTTTCATAACAAAGGTTAACTTATTTTCATGGAAATAGGGTAGAGTACACAGCCATCCCAGAAGATTTAATTCTTATGAACTGTCATGCTTAGGGATTTATTGTATTTCCTACACTTACAGAGATATTCTTGGTGTTGGTCTGTACCTGACTGCCTCCAGCACTCTCCTGTGACTCTGGAGGAGCTTTGAGTAGACAGTTGGCAGTTGCTCTCCCTATCTGCATACCTATGAGTCTTTGTGTATTACTTGCTTTCAGAGATGGCAGGGATTTGCAAAGCTCCAACTTTACTCCTTCCCTCCTAGCTATGCTCTACTTTACATCAGGAACTCTGTAGTTGTCTCTTGAAAACTTGTCAAAACAGATGTAAGAGATGATGTTTCTCAGTTGATGATTTATAGAAAATAGGACCAAGTTTGTGCTCTACACACTTACTGAAAGATAAAAAGATGGAGATTTTTCTAGCAAAAAGGTAAGCAAAAATTTCTGATAACTTTTTGAATATGAGGCTGGGAATGGAAAATTAAAGAATTATTGTAAAATTATACATGGTGCTTCCAGTTACTAGTATGTGGGTATAGTTATCTCTGTGAGTTTGAGCCACCCTGGTCTACATAGTGAGTTCCAGGACAGCTGGGTCTGCAGGGAGACCCTGTCTCAAAACAAAAAAAAAAATATAAAACAATAACAACAACAAAAAAGTGGGAAGAAAACAATACAGAATTGGAGCTTATGAAGTCTTAGTATAGAGCCAGTTTCATGGTGGGGAAAGACATGGCAGTTCTGCCGGCACTGAGGAATGGCTCCTTTCTGTGGAGGTAGAAGTGTTAGGCAGCTTGCTCGAGTCTCAGCTAACCGGTAAACAGACCTTGGGCAGAGAACTGAGGCTAGGCTAGGCTAGGCTTAAGGCCCATCTCCCTATTCACCCACTTCTTCCAGCTAAGCCCAGCTTCGTGAGACGGCTGTACTGTCAAAAAATAGTATCAGTAGCAGAGAAACATGAACCTGTGGGGGACATTTTACATTCGAACCGTAATGCTGTATTTAAATGAGTAATGAACTATTTTTTTCACAGTAAATCAAAAAAGATAGACAAAAAATTTATCAATACTTAACCCTAGAAGCAATTTATCTTTAAAAACTGGGAGGAAAGCAAGGTGTGATGGTGCTCACCTTTAATCCCAGCCCTTGGGAGGCAGAGGCAGGTGGATCTCTGAGTTCAAGGCTAGCTGGGGCTACAGGGAGACCTTATCTCAAAAAGACCCCCCCCCAAAAAAAAAAGTGGGATGAAAACAATACACAGTTGGCACTTACTGTCTTAGTATAGATGAGATGCTTTTGAATTTAAAAATGTTCGATTAAAGTACTTTTGAAAATAAGAGATTTTGCTGTTTTATTTGGGTGTACTCTTATTTTTTTTTAAAATATTTTAGGAAGAACTGGGATTGTTATTTGGAGACAGATTGAATGACTGTTAACATAATGAGAATCAATTTCTGAGACAGATACATTATGATGTAAAAAGCTCTGTGTAGGGTACTGCAGTATTTAGATTTTACTGTTGATTTATAGATACATTATTTTATCTTGGGAATATTAAAAGTTGTTAATGTTCACATTTCTCTTTATCCTGAAAAGAGTTTCTAATTCTTATAATAATATTATGAATAGGGGAAGTATATTTCTTGCTTGTACTTTTTGAAACAAGTGTTAGATAGTGGGGATTTATAATATACTACTTATTAATATTTGAAAATTTTCTTTCAGAGGCCTTTATTACTGCCTTAAGAGTACATCACTGTTGTAGTTCATATTTACTTCCCCTTCAAGCTTTCCATTTTTTTCTGCTTGAATATTGATAGGGTTTTAGGAAAAAAGCAGGTAATAATGTATCCAAGCATTTAACTAATTTGTGATCCTGAAATTATTTGCCTCCAGAGGTGGAAAGCAAAGAGAATACTGCTTTTCTTCTTTTTGATCCGTGTGTCAGGTAGGAAAGGTTGTCTTTGACCTTGAGAGTATTTACTTATTACTTTTAGTGTAGATTGTATGCAGAGAAAAGTTAAATTAATTCTGTGGTAAGCTAGTTTCCTATTTTACTCCTAGCCATCCAGAACCACATGGATATTCTTAGCAGCTGAGAGAGGACACTGATTCATGCTGTCCTTCTTGAGTTTTCTCTGGATGAGATTACTTCTGCAGTAATTTCCCTGTTTCCTAGTTACAGTCCGAACCTAAAACTGTTTAGTGGACTAGTTAAGAAGTTATATTACAGGTTAGGGTTTTCATTTCAAGTCTTGATCTAATCTCAAACTTTGTTGCCTGGACTGTCTTGTGCAGGGAGGTAGTTGTGGTTCTCTACATATCTTCCTTTATAGGAAGTTCATTGACTTTTAGGGTTTCATCACTAAAGACTATTCACCATCCTGACCCTTGTTTTCCGTAATCATGAGCATAATGGCTATAGTCTTGTTAGTAAAAATCTCGTTTGGCCTGAGTACATCGTTGTCCTGCTTTTGCATGTTGATACTCTCAAATTTTTGTTTTAATACACTGAGATCTGGCCCCAAATTAGATTTATTGGTATGGGCACATTGTTAGTAAAATGAGTCAATTTAAACTTTAAAGAAATTACAGATACTTTTGTACAACTTCTATGAACAAATTTTATTTAGAATTTGTTAATATTGTATAAATCTTGTATTTCCATTATAGAAAATTGCATTGTTTAAAAATGATCTGATTTTCAGTAACGTCATTGTTATATTGAAAATATTTAAAATAAAAAAGTATTTTTTATTTTATGTGTATGAGTGTTTTGCCTGCATATATGTAAATTATTAAATGCGTGCAGTGCCCACTGAGACCAGAAGAAAGCTTTGAATTCCTTGGATCTGGAGTTCAAATAATTGTTAGCCACTGAGCCATCTCTTCAGTCCCTAGAAAATCTTTAATTATGCTTTTAATAAAAGATCACAAAAAATAAGTATTAGATAACTGCAGATTTAGTACTTTGATGGAGTTATAAAACATATGCTTTTGATTTATAAGGATTAAATTATCTGAACTGCTCTTCCGTCCCTGCTTCATCTGAAAGCTTAAGGGGTTGAGAATAATTTTTAAAGTTAGAGAGAGAGAGAGAGAGAGAGAGAGAGAGAGAGAGAGAGAGAGAGAGAGAGAGAGATGCTTGTGAGTATGTGCCTATGTGGAGTCTAGAGGACAACTTGTGGAAGTCAGTTCTCTCTTTCAACCATGTAGGTACTGGGGATCAAACTTAGGTCTGTCAGTCTTGACATCAGGCCCCTTAAACAGCTGAACCATCTCACTAGTCCAAGAATAATTGCTTTTCAGTAACATAAAACTGTATTTGGTACATGAAATGTATTACAACTGTATATTACAAACAGGTTACTTTATGGGAGTGGCTAAACAAATTTGTGGATTCAACTTAATATTTATTTAACACCTTTTCTAATGAAATGCTTGCTGATTACAGTTTTTACCTCACTGGTCTTGATTTTACATCAGATTGCAACTAAGACACCATTTTGCTCTCAGTAGTCTTGATGCATAAATGAGCTCCATTTGAGTCCTCTAGTGAGGCAGGGTGTAGGCTTCCTGATGGTGCAGGACAATATTAGACCTCTTGTGCAAAAGTGGAAGTCACTTCTAGCAGAGCTTCTGTCAGGTGTGACTGTCCCATTTCCAAAACATAGCCTTACCGTGTAGAGGTAGTTAAGTTTCTAGTTGTTCAAACTGCTCATAGTAAACCATTTGGTGAAGGAATTTTGTGAGGGCAACACTGGAGTATACTTGATGCCTAATGGAGGTTGTAGAGGACTTGAAACAGAACATACTGGAGACACTGTAGGGAAGGAGCACTGCTGCTGCGTTGCTATACACCCCCCCATCTTGTTTTTGTACTCTTGATCCTTTGTCCACCCGTGTAGAACAAAACTCATAAAAAATTACATGTTCTGAAAGATGCTTGCATTTTTAGAAATTAGTGAAAGTTCTCAAGGTTAAAGCACCAGAGACAAATGAGAGATATAAGTATTAGATAGTTCGCATTCTCCCTCTCTTTAGCCTTTAGTATAAGGAAGTGATTTTTTTTGTCTGTGAATGTATCAGGTATAAAGGTCAGAAAATATGATTGTTCTTGTTACTACTGTGTTAATGATTTATTGTAGGTTCAGATTTTTTTCCTCATTACCACTGTTATTGTGGACAGTTTATTTAAATTGACTGCACTTTACTCATCTGTGAAATGAGACTAATAATAGCTACTTCATAGAGAGTTGCCACAAAGATTTAAATGGAAACATGTATGTAAAGTGCTTTGATCAGTGTAAGTGTTCCTCAGAATTTGTCTCCTGGATGTATGTAACGGTGTACAGATACAAGTGCGTGAATGCATCTGGAAAGATGCTGCCTTGTTAATCTAATGAATGAGAGAATTGTTTTGCACATTCAGTAATTAATAATATTTTTCTTTTGGACTGGTAAGGACCATAAATAAAATCAATTTCCCTTCCCTTACAATTAATCATTTTTTTCTTGGGAAAGCAAAAGTCTCTTCCTCCCCAATGATGATTTTTGTCTCTGCGTAATACAGCACTTTATGCATAATGGGTTCTCTGCACTGGTTTGTTAAGTGTAATTAAATTTTAGGGGAAAAAAACCCACTAGATTTATTAGGTTAATGGAATTTAGCAGTTGAGAGAGTAACAAAACACTGGTTTAAGACTGTGAGGGTTGAAGTAGATCATTAACGTGAAAAAGACAGATTTATTTTCCTGACAGGGATTCCACTTGGCCATAAGATCAGAGACTTTGGAAACTTGTACTGTTAGATTTCTTATCTTCAACTTCAAAGGATTTAGATGATAATGAACAGAACACCTATTAAGTTTTTCATATATTGATA